AGATATCACGTTTCATGTCATATGTTGTACATAGCAAAGACATGACAGAGGATTTGGTAATCCACGACAAGGCTTTCCAGTGAGAAGATTTTGCCACCGAAGTGGCTAGTTTATTGTGCACCCCATATCCATCCTGTGGAGGGTAGCGTATGAGTATATGGATACACAAAATGCCTAGGAACTAGGCCCCAAAGAGGGTTAACAGGAGTACATCTGGATTTATGGATTATGGATTTCTATCAAGATTAAGAACTGCTGAATGGTGTATAAATCAAGGACAGAAAAGCAGAAGACTCAAACTACAACAGCAAAACTGCAACTATAGATAAAGAAGCATTGGCTCTGGACAAATGTATTCAGTTATAAGAACACCTTTATTCTTTTTGAATATACGTTTCTTGTTGAATATACATCGAAAAGACTCGCCTCTCGGTGGTGTATATAAACCGAGAGACACTTATTACCAGAATAAATATTTGGAAAACTGACCATTAACCTTTTATTAAACTTCCTTTCACAATTTTCCCACCGTTTTATCTGTACTGAATTAATAAAGCCACTGGTTGGAGAGACGTTACCATAATAAAGATAAAGTGTTGCAGATGTGTCTTAATCATCTACCAAGAGACACCATTCCGTGGATACACGACTTTGTTTACGTTTTGTTGTCTGTCAGGTGATCGCACACCCGGCCGTGCAGAGATACCTTTATGACGTGTGGATGGGAAGTCTCGACTGGCCAGCCTGGAAGATGGTAGTTATGTTCTTCGCCTTCCTGTTTCTTCCTCCCGTCTGGATCTTTTTCAGGTAAGCGGAAGTCTTAGCAAATCTTGTTCTTCAGGTAGGCGGAGGTCTTAGTAAGTTTTGTCCGAACTTTGATTATTCTTCATGTAGCGATGGCGTAAGTCTCGTTCCGCCTAAACTGGTCTTGCGATATGTGGCAGTCTTAGCACGTTAGTCTTGTTCTACCTCAAGTGTTCATCGTTAGCTGTCATATCAGTTCTGGATGTTTCTGCTAGATGTAGCCACACATTATAGTATCTTGGATCTACTTCCAGGTATCCACCACTCTGCTGGGCAAGAAATATATTATGGGGTTAGGTCTGAAAGTTTTATTTCGGAAATTTTCAAACTATGGTTCTTGTTCCTGCTCTTAGTGGTGACAAGAAACGTATAGAAAGATATATATATACCTTTTCTTCTCCGTTACTCTGCCTGCCAACGAGGGCGTTTTCATTGTCTTCAGCCTTTCTTCAGTGCCTTCAATCTTCCTTCATTCTCCTTAGTATTTTTACACAGTTATATTAGCAGTGTTCACCTTTTATTTTCCTACTTCACTCGTGAGCATCAAACCACAGCAACATATTCCAATATACTGTATCAAGTAAGTTTTAAATAATGCAACAATTTTCTCCTTTCATAATCAGTGTTTCCTAAAGCTCCTTATTGAGGTGTAAATATTTGTGCTTGTACCTACTGTTATGTATAGGTATGTGTATGTACCTGTTGGTTTAACTATATCTGTTCAGCGTGCGTATTTGCGTACGTGCCAGGAGATGTGTACATTTATACTACCAAGTGTTTATTTTTTGCAGCATGCCACTGGGGCACATGTACAATGAGGTGCCAATCGTCAAGTTCATCGCCTACCTGGTGTCACATCTGTACCTGCTGGCACTAATGATCCTCACCGTGGTGATCCCACTCAGCCCCATCTGGGAGAACACCAGCCTCATGCCTAACTGGTGAGATTACAGTTTGCTTCCAAATGGTGATTGTTGCTGGGCTTGTGCTGTTCCAGTTGCAGTTGCTCCTGCTGCGGTGCTGTTCCTGCTGATGTGCTGTGCTTTCTGCAGTGTTGTTCCTGCTGTTGTGCTGTTCCTGTTACTGATTTTGCTAATAATACTTATAATTGTTTGTGGTGTAATGATACTGTTGCTTATTTTTTTCCAACATTGTTGAGGCTGGCCTTGATTAGTTTATAATTTTGGTTAGCTTAATCTCTGTCGTTTAATTTTGTAGGTTTGTGAGTATATCTGAATGCAAGCTTTTTTCCCTGATATTTCACATACCACATAAAAAATCGTACAATTCATACTGATGATTTTGAGTTACATTCTGCATCTCATTACATTTCTACACCTTCTGCTTGAGTAACTGAGGCAATTTGCATAATTACTGTTAAATCCGCACATCAGCCCTCTTATATTTCTCTGTTAATCTGACGTGGAGGCTATGCTATTAACTCTTATTTGCTTCAGGAGTTAGTGAACCTTGCTTGGAACTCGTGCATCTCCAAACCCGTGTGGGTCATTCATCGCAAGGAGTGCTGGAGGCTCGATCCTCCGACCGCTAATCGCGGTCCCTCATTTGAATATGGTGATACTCTTGCCGAGTCATTAGCGGGTCATCATATGAAGACGGCCCACTTTAAGTGCTCTTAATGATTCATTAGTGAGTCACCATGAATATGACCCATTAGAGGTGTTGTTCATAATGAATCATTAGTGAGTCATATGAATATGATTCACTTTAATGAACCATTAGTCATCAAATGAATATTTTTCCCCATGAATAATGTATTTATATCGACTTCTTCAGGTACGAGTGGTTGTTGCTATTGTGGCTTAGTGGTAACCTGGTGATGGAACTCACTAACCCAGGGGATATAGCCGGCTTGGGCTGGATCAAGGTGTTCGTGCTGGTGTTTAGCGGGCTGGGTATCTTGGTCCACCTGGTCGGGTTCTTCTACCTGGGTAACACCGAACTGCTGCAGGAGATGCTCTACATCAGGTGGGTGTTTCTTTGTTGCTGCTCCTGTGTCGTAGTCCATTGTTTTGGCCTGCAAGAAGGAAAGGTTGGTAGTTGCTACGGAGAAGTTGGTGTAGGTATCTTGTACTGAGAGAGAGAGAGATGAGAGAGTGGCGTCTCTTAGAACTTGAGTATAACCTACCTAATAAATCCTCTTTAACACCCAATCACGAGACCCAGAGTCCCGGTAACTTCCTACAAAGTTCCCTCCTCCCCATAATCTCCCCTGAACCACGAAACACCGGCTGCAGCAATTTGCAACAAACCCACATTACCGAAGCTGCAACATTTTACAGCTAGCCCACAATACCATGGCTAGAATCATTCTCAACAATATGAAGGATGGAACAGTTCACAACCAACCCACAGTACAGTATCTGGAACAATTCACAACCCACAGATTACATAAACGTAAGTGTGATGAATGGCTTTTGAAAACCTCAAACTCATCCTCTCCTTACCCATTTCAACTTTGTATTAGATTGATGAAGCCACTGTGTGGCGAAACGTTTCCTCAATAAAGATTCCCATATATATTGCAATCTCAATTTTTCTACATAAACGTAAAGTGACGGAACTTCCCAATTTGTGCAGGACAGTCCTGCTTGTCAGCAACATATCATACCGTCCCCAGAACATTTAGGGACTACAACATTATCCTACTTATGGATATACCCAAGATAAACATACCGGTTGATTAAATTTACTACCACTAAAATATATTATTACTTCTAATTTGTTTTCTCAAGCCATTATCTGACCAGATAAGAAAAAAACTTACCACTCACTAACTGCGAGTTCAAGTACCGCCCGTGGTATGGTTTGTTTGCAATCGTGTCATTACGATTTCGTAAGTCAGCAAAGAAAATTCTTTTAAACTGGGTCAGTAAGAATTGACCGTTAGAGAAAGCCAAAAGAATTTTGAGTTTGCTGACAGTGACTATAAACAGACTCCATATGGAAATATACCTAATTGGATGAATCTTACTTAGAGTCAGCTGGCCCAGTGGTTAACGCACTGTCCTGTGAGTTATAGGACTCACTTACCATGGGTTTAAACCCTACCCGTTCCTTGGTTTATTTACGATAACCAGCTCCTAGGACGCTCATGCTTCCATTTACCAAAATTCTAAAATTATTTCCTGATCTAATAAACATTAATATTAGACAAACTAAATACTTTGCTAAACGGAAAAGGATTTTTTTGAAAACTCACGTACAGAATTCTGGCTTAACTTCGTGCACAGCCAGGTAGCAACTTTCAATCAAGTTGTTAGAAAGATTGAAAGTGAGAGCACATCAGCATATGAGATATAGAGTTCATGATTTAAGTCAAAATTAACTGTCAACAACACTAAACTTATTTCTGCCGCATACAGTTAGGAGAACCGTAAACTAACTTCGACTGTTTGATTCATCAGCACCAATAACAATAGCAACAATAATAATACTAAAAAATAATATGCAACATCATCAATAATAAGTAACAATAATAATAAATCTTGACAGAAACAACTTCCTGGCCATAGCATTGTTGCTAGCGTCCGTGCAGTTGCTCGACTTCCTTTCCTTTCACCACCTCTTCGGGCCCTGGGCTGTGATCATCGGGAAACTGATGGTGGACCTCGGGAGGTTCCTCGTTATCCTGGCCATCTTCGTCTTCGGCTTCTCCATGTACGTGGCAGCCATCTACAACCCACTGAAGCCCATCTACAGTGATTTCAACACAACCAGTGACAAAACCGGCTACCCACCTGCTGGTTAGTGTGCATTATATATATACATATATATAGTTATAATATATTTACTAATTTTGGATTCCTTTTCAAGCTGTATCCCTTTCGTAACTAAGATAAATATCACTGTATAACTTATTGAAGCGAAATCTAAGGACTTCGTTCCAATAAATTCTTTATTGGAGCTTTCGAAATTACTGGAGCGTTTCCCCTCGTTCTTTATTGATGATGCTCTTCAGTCTTTATTGAAGTTTTATTAGAAATATCTCAACGCTTTACTTTATTTTTAATAATTCTCAGTTTTTACTGAAATTTAATTATCATTTATTACTGAAATTTTTTGGTCCATTGTTCATCAGAGTTTTTTTTTATTCTTAATTAAAGAAGACCCTGAATAAGCATTGTGAAGAAATATTTTCATATCCTTTCGTTACGTTTTGTCTCTCGCTATTGCTCGTTTCTCTTTGTTATCCTCTCGTCTTTTCTTCTATTCAGTCCTCTCCTCTTCTCCCTCCGTGCCTTTTGTGTGGCTCTTTCTTTCCTGACTCTTTCCTCACTACCTCCTACGTCTCTTCCTCCTACCTTTTCCTTCTTACTTCACTTTCTGATTCACTATTTCCTCTACGTGCTCTTATCCACGTCTCTGCCTTTCCTCTTTCTTGTCTACTTTTCCTTATTCATCTCTTCCTTATTATAATAATCTTTTTCTTCTCCTCCTCTGTCTACTTCTCATTATCCTCCTTTTCTGCTTACGCCTATTCATCCTTTTCTTTCAAGCTATCTTCCTCCTCCTCCTCCTCCTCGCCTTTTTCCTCACCCCATCCTTGACCTTCTCTTATCTCACCTCTTCTTCATTCTCCTCCCCAGAGGCACCAATTCAGACTCCACTTCAGACTGGAGAAATGCTCTTCTTCTCCCTCTTCGGTCTGGTCGAGCCTGACTACATGCCTCCCTTCTACAGTCACCCTGCCTGGAGCCAGTCACTCATGAAGGTCAGTAACTGCTGTGTTGGTGGGGGTTGCAATGGTCGTCCTCGTTTCTTGTAGTTGTGATGGTGGTCGTTGGTTGTGGATCGGGAAACAGTCAACAATTTAACAGTGTAATATTGTCTGCTATTAAGAGGACAACAGGACAAAACCTCCCCTACTTGGTAGCCTTAAGAAGATAAAAATGGAGGAACACTGCAGCAAGCCTTTGGGTCATACTAGGCACGTCTTTCTCAAACTAAAATCCACTTGTCAAATCTTTAACCAAAGCTACCCAAGCATTTGTTTCAGTACTTCAGGTACTGAAGAATGAGGCACATGCGCAATAAAGATTCCCAAATGTTGCACAGTCTTCAACTTGCCGCTTTTCTAAACCATTTACATCACCTCAGGTACTAATCTCTTTCCTTTCATCGACACAGATCGTTTTCGGGATCTACCAGATGGTGACGGTGGTGGTGCTGATCAACCTGCTGATTGCTATGATGTCCGACACTTACCAGAGGATCCAAGCCAAGAGCGACACGGAGTGGAAGTTCGGGTTAGCCAAGTTGATCAGAAACATGAGCAGGACTTCGGGGACACCCTCGCCACTCAACCTACTCGTCAAACTCATCGTCTACATTGTGGCTGTCTTCAAGTTTAAATGTGAGTTTGAAGATGGCTGGTGAAACGGAGGAACCAATGTAGTAAGCCGGTATTCGTCATGCAACATTACAGTAGCACACCTCACGAATATTCCCCCTTCCCCCCTCCCCCCCCAAAAAAAAACTTCTGACGACGTAGACCATTATCAAGTCACAATTGTTGTGACATGACAATGATCCTGAAATGACTGAAACGTCGTAATACGTTTCCTTTTTTTAAAATATATAAAAAATTCTTATATATATATATATATATATATATATATATATATATATATATATATATATATATATATATATATATATATATTATATATATATAGTGCTTTTCATGTAATTAAAAAATCCGACTATGACTAACTGCAATTGTAAAATCTTTTGATGAAAAAGGAGGGTTTTCGAGCTGCCTTTAAGAGTCTGTGAGGCTTTTAAAGAAATTGCTTACACAAGAGAAATTTGAGGGAGAGTCTGCCTTTATAAAATCACTGAAATATTATTCTGGGTTAAAAAAAAAAAAGAGAAATTTTTAGGTAGTGCAAGTATGTGTGTATATAAAAACAGCCCTTCAAGGGGGGTAGAAGGGTGGGTGTGTTGACACTGGTCAAGGGTTCTTCATTCAAGGAATTGGAGGTATCCCTTGATGTTGGTGAGGGGTTCTTGATCTAGGGAATTGGATCTGTGCTCCGGTTCCCTGAATTGAGCCTGAATACCTTCCATCCCCCCCCCCTCCCACATGCGCTGTATAATCCTACGGGTTTAGTGCTCCCCCATAATTATAATGATAATGGTTGAAGCCCTAAATGAAAACTTTTCGCTCCTTGGACTCTGATCTCTTCAAATTCATGTATGTATTCGGGTGCAATCAAGGTACACAGAGCGAGACATATTTTCGATTTTCCCAAAATCTTTGATTTTTTTCAAGTCTGTTTATTTTTTCTACATTATTATTATTATAATCAAGAGGGAAGCGCTAAACCCGGAGGATTATACAGCGCCTGGGGGGGGGGATGTGGAAGGCATTCAGGCTTAATTCGGGGAACTGGAGCACAGATCCAATTCCCTAAATCAAGAGCCCCTCACCAACATCAAGGTATTTTTTCTACAATCTTTTCATTTTTTCAGTTCTTAATTCTTCCCATCTCTTCATTTTTTCCCCAGTCCCTTCATTTTTTCCCCAGTCCCTTCATTTTTTCCCCAGTCCCTTCATTTTTTCCCCAGTCCCTTCATTTTTCCCCAGTCCCTTCATTTTTTCCCCAGTCCCTTAATTTTTTCCCCAGTCCCTTCATTTTTTCCCCAGTCCCTTCATTTTTTCCCCAGTCCCTTCATTTTTTCCCCAGTCCCTTCATTTTTTCCCCAGTCCCTTCATTTTTTCCCCTTCGTTTTTTTCCACAATCTCTTAATTTTTCACATAATTCTTTATTTTTTCCTACGGTATTTGCATTTTCCCACAATCTTTCTGTTTTCCCACAATATTTTTATCAAAATTGGTTTTTTTGTCCCCTCAGTTTCTTTTTCCCCCACTATCTCTTCGCATTTCCCCACGGGATCTTCATGTTTCTCACGATTTCTTTCCCTCAGGTTACCTGTGCTCAGACAAGGCCATGGAGTACATGAGGACGGAGGGGAGACCTGAAGACCCGCATCAAGCAGACCTGAAGACCGAGTTTGGAGGCGGATGGATCAAGAAACTCAGGTCGCGCAGTAAGGCCAGCATCATGCCACAGAGCACAGGTCAGTCAGGTCAGGTCATGTAGGAAAGCCATGCCCCAGAGCACAGGAAAGTCGGGTCAAGTCATGTAGTAAAGTCGTAGCTAGGAGCACAGGTCGGTCAGGTCAGATTATGTAGTAAGGCCATGCCCCCCAGAGCACAGGAAAATCAGGTCAGATCATGTAGGAAAGTCATACCCCGGAGTACAGCTCCTGAGCTAGTCAGGTTATGGCACAGCAAGGCAAGGCCTAACTAAACCATTTGCTCGCCAAGTCACACAAACTATCTCATAGTTCTGGTCAAGCAGCTTACAGTCCAGTCAAAACAATCTAACTGACAGGATGATCAGTTCGGTCAGGTGACAGGCTGACGAGTTCATTCAGGTGACATGCAAGTCGGTACCAGTCTGGCCAGATAAAATATATAATACTGATCTCCAGAATCCTCGTCAGTCAGTTGGGATACATCGTGAAAGATTTCGAGAACTGTTGTGTTCCCTAAGCCCCCCGGAAGACAGACTTCGTTACTGACAGCCTGATCAGTCAGGCTTTTGTGTGTGGGTGAGGACACTTGTGTACAGCTCAGTACTGAACTGTACTAGTGTTCTTTCCCGAAGTCTGTAGGTATCACCAAATCATTTACAGCCATAATTTTAGGGCTCATCGGACTATAAGAAATGTTACTGCTAATTAAGCATCAGATTTCAGGTTAAAATTGAGTAGAGGACGATAGAATTGAAAAGCCTTCTGCGAGTTTTAAAGGTATTAGATAATGGGGTTTAAAACTTCTTTGATTCGTTTACAAAGATCTTATTGATAGGATTGACAAGGGTCATTCACAAAGGTGACTGAATGGACTGATTGGATGCATTGATTGGACGCAATGACTGGATGCATTGGATCATAAATTCTAGAGTCGTGATTTTTCTCCAAAAATACTCTTGCAAAAGTGACCAAGAACTACGCTAATCACACACAGCTCAGTATCACAGGGTTACCATTCTAAGATATTTATATAAAGAAAAAGCTATTTAGGATTATTTGTATCATTTTTGAGTTTAAGTGCAAAACTTAATGAGTCAAGCATAATTAGCATTCTTTTTTTGTGAATTTAATCATTATATTATTAGCATAGCATTATTTTAAGTAACACACTTATATATGCATATATATTTGTCCAATATTCGAAAGTTAGTGACAACAAGTTTACATATGGACTGTGAGCGCTTAGCTTTGTGTCATGTTAGAGTTCTCTATGTTCTGTATCTAGTTAGCATGTGTTTGCCAAATTTTTAATTTTTCTTGTCTCCCTGTATACAGAGAACCTGGTACCTCTAAGCAACATGGAAGGACCTCAGGGAGTACGCAGAATCGAGAACGTAATCAAGTGGAGTCGCGTGGTAACTAGGTACCGCATCATGCACCGCAAGGAGGTTCAGCCGGGGGAGGAAGGCAGCCAAGAGCTGCCCACAGACTCCGTTGAGGACTTACACGACGAGGTGCTGCTGAACGGAGGAGTCGAGAACTCAGATCAGTCGACAGCGGCGTGAGCATCTAGCCGTGTGAGAGATCACTCACTAATTGACGTCGCTTTTAACTGTTCGGAGGGGAATACAACTCACTCGTGTGAGTGTGTGAGCCTCTAATTTTGTGAAAGATCGCCCACTTGTTTCACAGCTTGTGGGGCCTAGAGAACTGACGCCTGTGGGAGTGTGAATGTCTTACCTCTCACTTGTGTCGCTTGAAGGCTCCTGGGCGTACACAGCTCATGCATATGGGAGTGAATCATTGTGTGTGAGATCGCTCACCTGTATCACTTACAGGCTCTGGAGCTCACACAATCAGGATGTGCCGATACATACAAGACTGGGAAACACCCACAAAGCAATGCATACGAGTAATTTCCTCATCACATCTCTACCGAGAGGAAATCCTGTCTTTGCTCCAGCATCTGTCGAAGAAGACTGCACAGTCAGGCGTAAAACACTTTCATAATACTGCGAAAAAAACAGCAGATTAAAAAAATGTATCAGCAATTTTCTCCTGATAACTGAGAATGAAGATACGTATGTTTCATGACATTTTTTTTTCAAGGGGAGAACCGGTAAGCTAGAGGAAGGTGATTCACGGAGCGGTTCATTTAGGAGACATTTTTTTGTTTCTCCGGACAAGATGCCACCAAGCCTTTCCAATGTGGAAATTTTTGCGTGGCTACATGATGGTACATAAACGCCGCACTGAGAAATAGCTGTATTGCAATGCTGTAACACATACTCTGAGGTCTGTATCACAGAGTGAACGAAAGGACACAGTTGCATACACTGAAGACTTCCTAACTGGATACGTGTAGGTCCTGGAACCTCGGTCTCTGCAAATGACGGTCATTCCAATGTTGGTATCAATATACCTTCTTCGTAAATAACAGATTCAGGACTGTAAATCACACTCCTTGATCAGGTATTGCACCTCGTACTGGTACAACACTCCCCGCTGAATGGATCACAGAGCTGAGAGGCTAAAACTGATCGTGTCTTCGTTGCCAATAAACGCAGATCTCTTTCCAGCGAGTTTAAAACATTCTTGAAATCGTCGTTTAAGCGACGTACCACGTCCCTAAGAAAAACGTGGAGACGAAAAAGATATCTTATCAGCAAAGCACAAAAAAAAATAATTCACCAAAATCACTCATAACACGTCACAACTATCTCATCCATCATCAGTGTTATCCTTGATTTTATGCCAGCATAAATAAAAGAAATAACTCCAGTTTTCTGTTAACAAATCTTGTTTTGACTTTTGTTTACATTTCATGCTCGTGTTATTTTTTTTTAAACCAAAAAGCAGTTATTGCTTTACTGAGAAAAAATTATTGTAATTCATAATGGTATTTAATTTTATTAACTTTTCTTTCAATAAATGCTAAGAATTTATAATTGTAGGATCACAGATAAAATAAATAATTTAATGGAATTTAGTGTAATATGTATTTAATTAAGAATGAACTCTGAATATATATATGAATATATATGAATATATATATATATATATATATATATATATATATATATATATATATATATATATATATATATATATATATATAAAGTCCTGGAGACCGTATGTTTGTGATGTACAAATAATAATTACATATATATCGTTGTATAAAAGAATATTTTTTAATATAATGTCGAAAAATTAAAAAAAACACTCATTATATTACAGAATTTAAGCCAGAAAGTGAAAGTTTTATACACAGATCCCTACTAATGTTACGAATGATGTTTCGTACACAGGAATATTGTTGAATATTTGTTAATATAAGGAGAGAGAAACACTGTAGCGAGTCTGATTGCAAGAAATCTTTTCTCCATTATTAGTATTAGTAAAGATCTGCTCAGGATGTGCTCACAGGCCTACTTCCAGAGCTTTATTAGTAAGGACCCCCTTCTGAATATGGTCCGGTAGGCCTACTACAGTGTTTTTCCATTCTTACACTGTTTTAACCATGTGTTCATTCAGCTAGTTAATGGTGGGGAAAAGTTTTACACTGTTGTTTTAGCTCTGAATGTTTACTAATGTTTATTGTGAAAATATTATTGGCGTAACGTTGTGTGTTCATTAATTTCTGTTCTTGTTAATGTTATTCTAAAAAAAAAAATAATTATGTAAGCACTAACAACTAACCCATAAATAGACGATGAAACTAGGCGATATTTAGGTACATTCTGAAGTGGGACGATGTTTAGGCTCGTCCTGGTGACACTAGACAATGTTTAGGCCTGTCTTGGTGGCACTAGACTATGTTTAGGCCAGTCCTTGTGACACTTGACAATGTTTAGGCCCGTCCTGGTGACAATAGACAATGTTTAGGCCCGTCCTGGTGGCACTAGACAATGTTTAGGCCTGTCGTAGTGACAATAGACAATGTTTAGGCCCGTCCTGGTGACATTAGACAATGTTTAGGCCCGTCCTGGTGGCACTAGACTATGTTTAGGCCAGTCCTGGTGACACTTGACAATGTTTAGGCCAGTCCTGGTGACATTAGACAATGTTTAGGCCCGTCCTGGTGACACTAGACAATGTTTAGGCCCGTCCTGGTGGCACTAGACGATGTTTAGGCCCGTCCTGGTGACACTAGACAATGTTTAGGCCCGTCCTGGTGGCACTAGACTATGTTTAGGCCAGTCCTGGTGACACTTGACAATGTTTAGGCTCGTCCTGGTGACACTAGACAATGTTTAGGCCTGTCCTAGTGACAATAGACAATGTTTAGGCCCGTCCTGGTGATACTAGACAATGTTTAGGCCCGTCCTGGTGGCACTAGACGATGTTTAGGCCAGTCCTGGTGATACTTGACAATGTTTAGGTTCGGAATGGAAAATACATTTAAAACAACGTTTCACCTCCCTCGAGCGAAACCATTCTTGGATATTGTCTTGATCTGGTCTAAGTCTCTCTATATTACCCATTAAGTTGTTGCGATGTTCCGACACCGAACAAAGCGTTGTTGAGACGTTTCCGGACGGACCGAAACGTCGTCGAGGCGCTTCCAGGAGGACCGAAACGTCGTCGAGGCGCTTCCAGGAGGACCGAAACGTCGTCGAGGCGCTTCCAAGAGAACGGAAACGTCGACGAGGCGCTTCAAGAAGGACCGAAACGTCGCCGAGGCGCTTCCAGGAGAACCGAAACGTCGTCGAGGCGCTTCCAGGAGAACCGAAACGTCGTCGAGGCGCTTCCAGGAGGACCGAAACTTCGTCGAGGCGCTTCCAGGAGAACCGAAACGTCGTCGCGGCGCTTCCAGGAGGACCGAAACGTCTAGTGTCAAGTACAATTGTTGGGTTGCGAAATATTACAGCAACAGAGTAATAATTATTCCTTGCAGTGTAACTGTATCCAATATTGATACGCGAGAAAAAAAAACGTGAAATTATGTTACGTTTAAAAAATCACGTTTGATATTTATTCAATGAACATTTAAATGAAAATGTATAAGGGTATCTAGTAACGAATATTTTTTATACGGGATTAAAAAGAGAAACCTTGTTTATGTGTGTAAGATATATATATATATATATATATATATATATATATATATATATATATATATATATATATATAATTTTGATAGAAAACGTAGGAAGTGAGAAAGTAATTCACTCGCATTTTATAAGGTTGTAGGTAAATTGTATTTGTGTAGTCACGATTTTTTTTTTTGTAGCTGGGATTTATTTTAGTTTTGATTTTTTTTTTTAGTTGTGATTTATGCAGTTACGATTTTTAAAGTTGTCATTTTTGTGAAGTTCTAATTTTTGTTATGATATTTTTCGTAGTTATGATTTTTTTTTTTTTGCAATGATTTTTGTTAATGATTTTTGTAATCACGATTCTTGTAGCTGAATTTTTGTATTTGTGTTTGTCCAGTTATGATTAATGTCGTTACAATTCTATCAGCTGTGAATTTTGTTGTTGTTGTTGTTGTTGTTGTTGCTTCTACAACTGCGTCATAGAAAGAGTTCAGCTTCAGGAGATAACGAAGGTTCACTGAAAATGAACCCCTCTCTTGTATAGTTTTATATTTTGACGACTTAGATATGTAACAGTAAAGAAACCACGAAACGGATGGGGTTTGAACCTATGGCAAGTGAGTCCTAACCTCCCTATGGCATTTATAAATATATACCTAGTTGGAGGAATCTTATTATAACCAGCTGGCCAAGTGGTTTACGCACTGGCCTGGAGTTTTACGATTAACCCGCCATGGGTTCTAACTCAGCCCGTTCCGTGGCTTTTTTACAATCGTATTATTACGATTTCGTGAATATAACAGAGAGACATGCGCAGCGTTTCACCCGCCAGGGGGCCTTAATTACTGCATTATTGCTAAGTATCCCAGGATACTTATTATGAACTACGGGCAAAAGTGTAATATTTCATGTATTCCGTTCATTACCTAACGTTGTACATGTCTGTCTTTTTTAACACGTTTCTCTGTTTATATTATATTATATATATATATATATATATATATATATATATATATATATATATATATATATATATATATATATATATATATATATTGTTGGTTGATGTCGGTTTTATTGACATCACATGTGTGTATGGAAGAATGTCTTGCGCGGGTAACGCAATGATGATTATTATTATTATTATTATTATTATTATTATTATTATTGTCTGTTTGGACCCTAATGGATTTAGGGGCTTCAAGTTATCACCACATCTTCAGCAAATATAACTCATATAATTAGTTATCATAGAGGTCATAATCACTTCATATATCATGCTATTTTTCTACGTCAAAAGACCAGTCTCTCCCTTTTCCCTTTTTTCCTCTCTTTATATTCACTTCATTTCTCCCCCTCTCTCGCCTTTCCTTCCTCCCTTTACCTTCGTTGTATTATCCTAACCCTCTTCCCCCTTCTTTAATTCCTCCGCCATGTGTACATACTGTAAATAATGTACAGATAGTAATGAAATATATCCTTTTAAACTAGTTGAAGTCTCTCTCTCTCTCTCTCTCTCTCTCTCTCTCTCTCTCTCTCTCTCTCTCTCTCTCTCTCTCTCTCTCTCTCTCTCTCTCCCTCTCCCTCTCAGGTGAATTTCTGGAAAAAACATTAACGAAAAATATATATACTTATTCTCTTTACCCTTTTATTTTCCCTTCGTAATTTAAGGGATTTTGACCCTTTGTTTCCTCCCTTAGATAAGCAGTAAGTAGCTCTTCCAATAATTAGTACTCAAAAGGTACTTAATTGACACCTTGACATACTCATTAGCATGTAATTAGCATGCAGAGATCACGTATTTATTACCTTATGTACTTAAGATACCAGAAAATAGCATGAACACTGAATAAAAAAATTTGACTTCTTTATTTATGAACCGATTACATTCATTTTTGGTGTACTATTAGAAGCTTATATAAAACCTCCTGTGCTGAAGTTTCAAAAATATCGGCCAAAAAGGAAATGAAATATGCAAAATTTACGAAAAATTACATTTGGCAGTACTCAAGTACTCAGTGGTACTTGGAAAAGTGGTTTTGACATTTTCTGCTGATAGAACACTTCTAATTCCATCATATGTAAGTCCGCAATTATATAATAAATCTTATCTTCATGCTAAAAAAAAATAAAGTTTCATAACTTTTTTGACATTTTGGAAGATGTCGGTCTTGTTGCCCACACAAATCTGAAAATATTTGGGATACTTCAGAAACGCTTCTGACAGTTTGTAAAGCAATCATTCTTCTATGTTTGTTGTGAAAATCAAGTCAATTCATTCATAAATAAGGATGGATGGGTCATAAATAGGTAAATAACTTACTTTCGAGATATAGGCCGCAGCGCGCGGCACCCCCGCTGCCCGGGAAATAATTTTTTTCCCCGAAAAATTCGCTTTATTTTACACTTTTTGCGTGACCTACGAGTGTTTATTACAGTTAACCATTGTAAATCCGTTTTCTCTCATCACTGATGAGAGAGGTCGGACCCTCTCTTCACCTTCAGGGGAAATATCGATAGAAATTTATTCCTTGGGGCGTCATATTATGCTATATATTTTTTTTTCAGGTGTACTTTTTATGTTTATATGCTATTATTATATTGCATTATATCATAATAGATCAATTGTGATAGATAAATAAGCTTTATAATTGATATTAGCGTGGGTATGGAATATTTTGTTGGCTGGAGGTGTCGGCCATTTTATGCACTATTCCCAGGGGTTCCCGATTGGTTCCTTGACCATATTATCTCCGCCCACTCTGGCATGAT